TGCTTTTTTTTTTCTTTAATTCAGCTCATCATTTTATTTTCTACTTTTGCTTTTATTATTAATTAATCTTATTATTTCATATTATTTCTTCATTTTTTCCTTCTAATTAACGATTTAATGATATATTTTTTCTTCAATATTTAAAAAGTTGGAATAAAATCGGTGATGAAGGTGCATCAGGCTTAGGTTCTGCTTTAGCAAATTGCATTAATCTCTCAAATTTGACACTTAATCTTTAGTAAAAACAGTTTATTTGTTATGGATTATGATATTTTAAATTATAAAAACTAATCAAAAACAATAAAGCTCTTTTTTCTTTTTCTTTTTATTGTGCTTGCTTTTTTTTGTTCTTTCTTTGTTAATTTAGCTCATCATTTTATTTTCAACTTATGCTTTTATAATTAATTAATCTTTTTATTTCATATTATTTCTTCATTTTTTCCTTCTAATTAACTATTTAATGATATATTTTTTCTTCAATATTTAAAAAGTGGCAATTAAATTGGTGATGAAGGTGCATCAGGCTTAGGTTCTGCTTTAGCAAATTGCATTAATCTCTCAAATTTGACACTTGATCTTGGGTAAAAACAGTTTATTTGTTTTGGATTGTGATATTTTAAATTATAAAAACTAATTAAAAACAATAAAGCTCTTTTTTCTTTTTCTTTTTATTGTGTTTGCTTTTTTTTTGTTCTTTCTTTGTTAATTTAGCTCATCATTTAATTTCCAAATTTTGCTTTTATTTTTAATTAATTTTATTATTTCATATTTTTTCTTCATTTTTTCCTTCTAATTAACTATTTAATGATATATTTTTTCTTCAATATTTAAAAAGTTGGAATATAATTGGTGATAAAGGTGTATCAGGCTTAGGTTCTGCTTTAGCAAATTGCATTAATCTCTCAAATTTGACACTTATTCTTTTGTAAAAATATTTTATTTGTTTTGAATTGTGATATTTTAAATTATAAAAACTAATTAAAAACAATAAAGCTTTTTGATTTATTTGATAGCTTTTATTTGATTTATTTTTTTATCTTTTTTATTCCATACTAATATTATTTTATTTATTAATTTAAAGAATAATTTTTAATTTAAAAGTTTAATCTATTTTGATATTTATTTAAAATTTACACAAATTTATTATAGCTATTTTAGATCAATGGATGAATCAAAAAAATTCAAAGTATTAAGCAAGTATCTTAAATCAAAAAGATTAGTTGTCTTTAAATTCTAATGATAAACACTAGTGAAAAAAGGATGAATAAATATAAAATGTTTGAATAATATTATATATTTTATTATTTAATATTTTGAAAAAGTGTTTTTAATCTAAAATATAAATCGATAGATAAAAAGATTTTATAATTGATTTATATTTATAAATATCATTCATATTTTTGTAAGTAAATAAATTATTAATAAAAAATAAAAAAATTAAAGAATTAAATTTACTTAAATAAATTAAATCCTCTTAAGCAAACTCACCGGTTTCTCCAAAAACGATCAAATAATTTGAAACTTTTAGTGTAATATTATATCCTATTAAATTATATAAATGCTAAGCTTTTATATACCAGTTATATTTTAATCTTAAATATTATTCATCAATCATATTTCTATCCTTTTTTTATTTATCATGATTAATTAATTAGATACCATGATTTAAATAAAATATCAGGGAGAAATTAAATTTGACTTTTTATTTTAATTTTTTTGGTTAAATTAAAAATTTTTTTCAAAGAAAATAAAATTTAATTAGATTAAATAAATATGCATCATGTTTAATTTTATTTAAGAAACACCTAATTCAAGAAATAAATTTTCAAAAATTTAATTATTAAAAACATAATTGAATAAGTTTTTTTAATAAATTTTATCTATTTAAATTATTTCATTCAAAGTTATTGAGATCTGTTTGTCAACACATATTCTTTTAAAATTTTTTATTAAATCAAATAAATTTAATTTAACCTCTTTAAAATCAATGGAAATCGATATACATACAAACATCAAAAGTCTTTAAACAAATAATATTTTTGTTCACTCACAAAATTATAGAGGTAATACTTAATATATTTTCTTCAATATTTAAAAAGTTCGGATCATATTAGTGAAACTGATGAAAAAGCTTTATGGTCTGCTTTAGCAAATTGTACAAATCTCACTAATTTGATGCTTGACCTCAGGTAAAAATAGTTTATTTGTTTTTGATTGTGATTATTTATGAATTTAAAATAATATAACTAACTCTTTTCATTTGTTTATTAGCTTTTTATTTAATTTATTACTTTTTCTTTTTATTTTACTTGTATTTTTTTATTACTTTTTTAAATTAACTCATTTTTTATTTTCAACTTTGTTTTTATTATTAATTAATTAATTTTTTCTTATTATTTCATATTTTTCCTACATTTTCCCCTACTTATTAACTAATTAAGTAATTGATTACATATTTTTTTCTTCAATATTTAAAAAGTTTAAAATATATTGGTCCTGAAGGTGCATCAAGCTTAGGTTCTGCTTTAGCAAATTGCACTAATCTATCAAATTTGATTCTACATCTAAGGTAAAAAATTTTAGTATTTTTTTATTCTGATATTTTCATTTATAAAAATGACTATTTGCTTGTTAGTAGTTTCTTTTGTTTATTCTTTTTTCCTTTTTTATTTTACTTGTATTTATTTTTTTATCTTTCTTAATTTAACTCATTTTTTTATTATTAATTAATTTCTTATTATTCATATTTTCCCTTCTAAATAGGAAATTATTTATATATATTTTTTTAATATTTAAAAAGTAACAATGATATCTATGATATAGGTGTATAAGGCTTAGGTACTGGTTTAGCAAATTTCACTAACCTCTCAGATTTGTAACTTCATCTTAGGTAAAAGCAGTTGATTTGTTTTGGATTTTGATATATAAAAACAATTTAAACTTTTAATTTGTTTACTGGGTTTTTATTTGATTTACTTTTCTTTTGCTTTTTATTGTACTATTGTTATTTAATCTATCTTAATTTAACTAATTTTTATATTCAACTTTTGCTTTTATTATTTATTACTGTAATACCTCAAGTCTTTCGTTCTTGTTTTTCTAAAAAATGACAAGCAAGGAATGAAGATTTAGTTTAGGGCACAGAATTTTTTGTTTTAATTTTTGAATGAAAAAAAAATTTGAATTCATTTGTTATTATTTCATTTTTTTCTACATTTATTTTTTAATTCGATTTAATTAGCCAATTAATAAAATTATTTTTTATTCAATATTTAAAAAGTTGCAATGAAATTGGTGCAATTGGTGCATCAAACTTAGGTTCTACTTTAGCTAATTACACTAATCTCTCAAATTTGACACTTTGTTTTAAGTAAATTTAGTTTATTTGTTTTAAATTGTTATATTTTTACCTATAAAAATGAATTTAAAACAATATAACTCATCTATTTTTTTATAAGCCTTTTATTTGATTTATTTTTATTTTTTATTTTACTTGTGTTTTTTTTCTTCTTTCTTCATTTATTTTCAAATTTTGCTTTTATTATTATTAATTAAATCATTTCTTTATATTTCATATTTTTTCTTCATTTTTTTCTTCTAAATTACTAAATTAATTAAATATTTTTCTTCAATATTTTAAAAAGTAACAATTAAATTGGTGATGAAGGTGCGTTAGGCTTAGGTACTGCTTTAGCAAATTGTACTAATCTCTCAAACTTGAAACTTTATCTAGGGTAAATTCAGTTTATTTATTTATTTTGGATTATGATATTTTTTATTCATTTTTTCCTTCGAAATAACAAAAATAATTATATTTTTTCTTCAATATTTAAAAAGTTGGAATAAAATTGGTGCAGTTGGTGCATCTGGCTTAAGTTCTGCTTTAGCAAATTGTGCTTATCTCTCAAATTTGATACTTGAACTTATGTAAGAACAGTTTATTTGTATTAGATTGAGATGTTTTTAGTTAGAAAATATAATTTAAAACAATACAACTCTTTTTAATTTGATTTATTTTTCTTTTTCTTTTTTTATTTTACTTGTATTTTTTATTATTTTTCTTAATTTAACTAATTTTTTGATTTTCAAATTTTGCTTTTATTATAAATTAATTAAATTCTTAATATTTCTTGTTTATTCTTTATGCTTTCCTTCTATATATCTAAATTAGTTATATATTTTTATTTTATTTTAAAGCTTAAATTAAATTGGTTCAATTGGTGCATCAGGCTTAGGTTCTGCTTTAGCAAATTGCACTAATCTCTCAAATTTGGCACTTGATCTCCAGTAAATACAGTTTATTTATTTTGGGTTGTGATATTTTTTAACAAATAATGAATTTTAAAAACAATATAAGTCTTTAATTCATTTATTAGCTTTTTATTTGATTTATTTTTTACTTCTATTTTTGTTAATTTAACTCGTTTTTTTATTTTTAAATTTTGATTTTATTATAATGATGTATTTTATCTTCAATATTTAAAAAGTGGAAATGAAATTGGTGATATACATACATACATACTCGCACATGGTTACATGCACTCGGGATAGGGGCCCTATATATAATTACTTATACATTATTATAATACGTATACCAATTTATTTATATATAATTGTGGGTAATATACTAGAAGGGAAGGGTCACCTACACCCTAATGGCATTTCTACTAATCTTCCATGATTTGACTACGCATTATGCTCGCTTCCCATTTGTATTCCAGATCTTCTGTTCAGAATGGGGCCTCCTCTTTACCACCTATCAGATTTGGCCCTTCCCTCCTACCAAGGAGACCGCTGGTAACATTCACATTTTTACATGGAATTTTTCGAAATAAAGGGGGCGGTATAGGATTCGAACCCCCGATATCACTGCTAAGACCCTCCGACTCGCCCACTCGAGTCGCTTAGCCCTTCTGAAATTGGTGATGAAGGTGTATCAGGTTTAGGTTCTGCTTTAGTTAATTGCACTAATCTCTCAAATTTGAAACTTAGTCTTAAGTAAAAACAAAGTTTATTTGTTTTTGATTATGATATATTTTGTTATAAAATGAATTTAAAACAAAATAACTAGTTAATTTTCGTTTTATTTGTTTTTTTTCAATTTAATGTACTTGAATTTTTTTTATCTTTCTTAATTTAACTAATTTTTTTATTCTCAGCTTGCTTTTATTGTTAATTCATTTTTCATTCTATACAACTAATTAATTATATATTTTTTCTTCAATATTTAAAAAGTGGAAATCAAATTGGTGATGAAGGTGCATCAGGCTTAGGTTCTGCTTTAGCAAATTGCTCTAATCTCTCAAATTTGGTACTTTAACTTAGGTAAATTTAGATTATTTTTATTTATTTTGGATTATGATATTTTTAGTTTAATAAATTTTAAAAATATAACTCTCATTATTTGTTTATTTTCTTTTTATTTCTTTTATTTTTTTTTTTTTCATTTTTATTGTGCTGAATTTTTTTTATCTTTGTTAATTTAACTCATTTTTTATTTTCAGATTTTGCTTTAATTACTAATTTATTCTTTTCTTATTTAATATTTCATTTTTTCTTTCTATTACTAATTAATTATAAATTTTTTCTTCAATATTTAAAAAGTTGGAATGAAATTAGTGAAGTAGGTTTATACGGCTTAGGTTCTGCTTTAGCAAGTTGCTCTAACCTCTTAAATTTGGTGCTATATCTTTAGTAAAAACAGTTTATTTGTTTTGGATTGTGATATTTATTTAATAAAATTGAATTTAAAATAATAAAACTTTTTTTATTGATTTTCTAGCTTTTTATTTATTTATTTTTATTTTTTTATGCTGCTAATTTTTTAGTAATTTATTTTAATTTATAATAGAAGAGTAGAAGATATGTTTGAACCATAATAATAATTGAAAATATCAAGCAAATGTCTAAAATCTAAAAGATTAGTTTTCTTTAAAATATATTTCAAATGTTGATAAATTATTGGTGAAAAAGGATGAATAGATATTAAATATTTGAATAATAAAAATTATATGTTTTATTGTTTTATATTTTGTTAAAATTTAATTTAAACTAAAATATAGATAGATAGATTGATTTATTATTATTTTTAAATTTATCAAAATTATATTTTTTAAGTGAATAAATTGCTTATTAAATAAATGTAAATTTATAAATAAAATTTATTTAAATAAATTAATTTCTCTTAAACAAGCACTCAGTTTTCACTAAAAATGATCAAATCTTTTAATCATAACTATAATCCTCTATCATATTAAGGAATTTCAGTCATTACAAATTTCAACCCCTGTATTTCTATTTATGTTTTATTTATCATGAGAAATTAGATAATATAATTCAAAAAATTAGGGATAAATTAAATCGTGCATTTGATTTTAACCTATATGATTATTCACTCTATCAAATACCAATCAGTGACTATTTTTACTCGGATTTTGAAATATAAGCAAGTTTCAAAAAAGAATTTTTAGATATCTTCTAATTTCTGATTATACTGATCTGAAAACCCTAAAATTTCTAGCAAGCAATCTTCTTTTTTAAATAATTAAAAATTTATTAATATTCAAAAATTTTATCAATTAAAATTTAAAAAAGAAAACATTATTTGAAAAAATATATAAAATAATAATTATTTTTTTAAGGATAAAAATTTATTGCTCATTGAAAAAAGATTAAAATATATCAATTATAAATTATTAATCAATAATATTAATTCAATTAAAAACTGTTTTTATATTTAATTATTTTTCATTGATATCCTTAATTTTATAGAAAAAAGACTAAATTAAATATATTTTTTCTAAATTTTTGATTAATAAAGAAATATACCTAAAAAGTAATAAATTAGTTTATTTTATAATAAAATATTATAATTATCAAAAAAATGAGCCATTAAAAGATTGGTAATATATGGGCACTTAAAATAGATGAAATGTATGCATATTTAATTAATTCTGTTAAACAATAATTATCAAATTTATTGAATTTTAAAATGTAATATATATAATTGTAAATGACTTATTTAGTATGTAAAATATTAAGTTGAGAATTAAACAGCTATTTTATTAAATTATTATAAAAGTAGTTAAATGAATGATTTATTCTTTAAAAAAAATGTTAAATCATTTAAAAAATAAATTAAAATTTTTTTCAAGATTTATTTTATTTTAAAAGCAAAATTAATTTGTAATTATTAAAAATAAAAGTAAAATTATTATTTAATAATAAAAATAAATTTCCATTCAAAAATTTTTTTATAAAGATTACAAAATATTATAATTTTTATTAGAAGCTGAATATTTATATTAGATTATTTTATAAAAACCGATTAAAAATTTTAAATAGATTATGTTGTTATAAATATTAATTTTAGTCATTATTAATTAGCTATAAATAAATATAAAAGATATTAGTATATTTATAGATCCGTGAGCAATAAATTCTATTAATTAAAAATATAAAATTAATTTTCTGATTTGAGCAAACAATCTTTTAGTATAATCACAAATCATTAATACTCCTATTTTGTCTATATTATATTATTAATACAAAATTTTTTAATATTATGAAAGATTAGTGGATGGGGTCTTTGATTAACTTAAAAAAAACAAACAGATAGGATACTTTCATTAGAAAAAAATTTATGTTTTCATTTAATAAAAATTAATAAATAATAAATTGTTAAGTCAATTTTCTCTCATTTATAGTTTTATTAATAGGGAATTCGCAAATTTATTAGTATCTAAACAATATTTTCAATTGATCACAATATAGATGTAGCAAAATTATTTTGCTTACTTTTATATTTCAACTATGTTTTATATTGTAATAAATACATAAAAATTTAAGAAAAAAAACAAAAAATATTAAAATAAAATAATTATGAATAATATTAATTTAATTTATTTTATAAATTTTATTAATGGATTTATTATTTATTTATCAGAATTATTTAGCAGAAAAATTATCTGATATAAATAAAAATCTATCAATTTTTATAAAAAAAGCTAATTAATATAGATAATTTATAAAATATATTATAAATTTAAAATTGATTGTTATCATATCCGTTAATAATAGTAATAATCTAAAAATTGAAAAGTTGTTATCAGATTTAAAAATTAATTAAGATATTCTCTTGATTTTAATTGACTTTTCTTCATCAGGAGGTTTATCGAGTTTCTTTTAATTATTATATATACTTTTTACTTTCTTTTGTAGAATCAATCAAAGTGATTTTGGCTTATATAAATTTTACATCTCTATAAAAACATCTGTTTTTATTAAAAAAACAAACCCATCAGCCAACTTTAAGTAAGTCAGTACCCTGTTAAAATCCCCAGTCATATATAGGAAAAGGAATTAATCAAATGTCTAAGAAATTAAAATTCGAATTAGTTTAAGCTATCTCAAGCAAAATATCTAAAGATTGCTAAATTCAAAAAGCATCATTAAAGGAATTGGTTAATTTGATGTTCAGCTAGAAAAAATACTTCAAAAATTTTGAGTATATTAGCAATGGCTCATTTGCTCTTATCTTAAAAGCTTATAACTCTAAAGAAAATCGTCAAGTAGCTCTCAAATTCTTAGTATGCTGTAGCGAAGGGTACTAGGATTAAATGGAATCTTTGAAAAAAGAATATGAAATCCTTCAAAAATTTGGATAATCATAATTTTTAGTCGATGTCTACGATTGTTTCTATTTAATGGAAGAAGAAGAAGATGAGGATGAAGATGGAAACGAAATAATCGTTTAAAATGAATACAAATCATTCTTTGTTTTGGAAATGGAATGTTGTGAGCGTAAAAATAAAATAATATATTTTTCATCCATTTTTTTTCTTCATTTTTTAAAAAGGCCTGAAAATACAAAACAAAATATATTCATATTTTTTATTGACTTGAAATTTGACATGAATTTAATTAAGATATCCATTGTAATTTCATTTATTTTTCTGAATTTTTTCAGATTTTGATAACTCAAGAGAAAAACATTAGATTTTCGCTAAACAAATTTAATTAATTTAGAAAAAATAGTTGAAATTATTTGATATATAAAAATTAATTCATTTTTTAGAATTCCTCTCAACTAAGACTTTTTTCATTTATTTTTATCAAATTTTGTATAATTTCTTAATTAAAGCTTCATAATATATATCTTATAACATATTTATTTCCCTAATATTTCAATATAAAATTTTATTAAAGAATTTAAAAAAATATTCAGTTAAATTTCTTTAATAAGACTTAAATATTAAATCACTCTAATTTAATAAATTTATATTAAATTTGAAAAAAATTTAAATTAATTTTAAACTTAATTAAATATGTTAAATTAAATATTTTTTATATTATCATTTGAAAATGAATCTAACAAATTTATAAAATAGCTAAATGATAGTTTTTTACTTTTATAAATTAGGTATAAACAAACAAACAATAATATTCATATTAAATTTAATAAAATTGAATTATTTAAATACTAAATAAATGAAGAAATCAAATTTCTAAGATTCAAGAAAATTAAAACTAAATTTTTTCTATCTAGTTTTAAAAATTAAATTATTAATTAAATGCTAAAATGAATAATTAATTTACCAACTTATAAATGAAAATTTTTAATTTTAATTTTAATATAAAAACCATAATTAATTAAATTTTATAATTAACTAGACAATCTTAAAGGGCTCTTCGATTATTTCAGAAAATAATAAGTACCACCTTCGAAAGAGATCAAGGAAATAATAGCCATCCAAATGTTAGAGGGGCTGAATAACATTCACGTCAAAAACATTATCCACAGGGATATCAAGCTTTCAAACATCCTTGTTCGTCCTTCTCAGGAATATGGTTTCTAAATAAAAATTTGTATAAATTTATTTAATAATTTATTAATTTTCTTTTCTTAATAAATATTTTTAAAATTTAGCTGATCTAGGTTTTGCAACACATGTGTCTAAATCAAAAAGCTTCTGTTCAAGGGTTAAAAAATTAAATTATTTTTTAATATTTTAAATATTTTTTATAATTTTCAGAAAGGAAGTGATGAATATCTTGCTCCAGAAGCGGAAAAAGGACAATATAGAATTCAAGTTTTTATTTAAAAGTTATAAATTAATTTTTAAAATTTTAATTAAATTAAATAGTCAGATCTCTTTTCACTAGGTCTTATTTTATTAGAGCTAGACAATGTTATGACTCTAAATGAGGATTGGATAGATTTCGAAACTAAACTGAATCTATTCAATGGAAAAGAAATACCTGATGAAAAATATTAGATAGATAAGAATTCTAATATATACAAAATAGCTTAAATATGCTTAAAGCCTTCATATTTAGAAAGGACTACAGCAGGAGATTTACTATCCTAACTAATCGAAATGCATGGTTAACCATTAAAATTTGTGTTGACTTCTATGATACTAGAGGTAAAATATTAATTATCAAATAATTGTTTTAAAAATAATATCTAAATTAAAATAATGCAAAAAAAAATAATTATTTTTTCAATCTTTCCCAAACAATTTAATTTTACTATAACTCTTAATAAAACAAAATATTTTATATATACTTTCCTAAAAAATGAGATCAAATAAAAATAATATTTATTTATTTATTAAAAAAAATAAGAGGTGGGCATGAATAATATTTGAATAACAATAAATGAATATGAATAAATTTTTATAAAGCTATTCATAAAATTTTTAAATTTTACAATCAATATTCATGCCCACCTCTGTCTGTTTGTTATATATTAAAATAAGAATAATTAGTCTATTTTTTATTAATTATATTTTAAATTTAAAATGGCAAAATAAAATATGTTAATTAATTTTATTAGAATTGATTGAAATTGCTGTTTTTCTTCACTAATTAATATAAAATTAAATTTAATACAAAATTCAATTTATTTTTATTACTCTTAAGATAAAAGATTAAATTTTTTATTATATTATGTTTGAAATCAATAAATATTTTCATAATAAAAGGAATCAATACCTATATAGGCACAATAAATAATTAATAAACTGTTGTAAAATGAAAAGGTAAAAATTATTTATTTTTAGTAAAAATTTTTACAAAAAATTAGAATTAAATGCAAATTTATGATTATTAATTTTAAAGCATTAATCTTTTGATCAGTATGCTTAGTTTATTCTAGACAACACAAATGAGAAAATTATAAAACAAGATGTTCAAGCACAATTTACAAATGTAGAAGTATTATCTAATCTGCTGAAAAGTCTCTTTGAAAATAAAAAATATTCGAATTACTATTAAATTCTTAGCTTTGGAAGTTAGGGAATGATTTTAGCTACTAAAAAAGTTAATCTTGATAACAAAGAAATAGTACTAAAAATACAAAAAATAATAGATGAATAAAAAATCTAAAATGAAATTAGTATTATGTAGAAATTAAAAGAGCCTCTAGTGGTATAGCTTTATGATAGCTATATAATAGAAAATATAGTAGGATCTGATAGATACTCAGTCTTAGAATTAGAAAAATGTTCATGTAATTTATAAAACTATTATTAACATTTATTTTAATTTAAGTTTTATTAAATAATTAAAGTGATATTTTTGTATTATAAAAATACATATTAAAATTTAATTAGATTTAAAAAATTTTTTAAAATGAAATTATTTTCGTTGCTATTTAAGCATTTAATTTATTTAGAAACACTTTTATATAAAAATTATTGTTTCTTGTTATGTTTGATTAAATTTTAATATTTATTTTTTAAAAGGTACATTAGATGAATATCTCGACAGAAAAAACAAAGATGGATAATTTAGCGAAGATGATAAATTTTAAATAGCCATCAAAATTATAGATTCTGTCAATTATATTCACTCATTAAATTTCATTCATAGAGATATCAAACCATAAAATTTTTTGGTTTGTTTAAATGAAAATGAAGTCGAAATAAAATTATGTAAACTCTTTTTATTCATTAATTATTTTTCATTACCTTTTGATTTAAAGGTGATTTCGGTGTGTCTGCTTAGATTCCAGATAATAGAAATTCAATTCAAACTAAAGAGGTAGATTTTTTAATTCTAAATATTTATTTTAAATATTAAAATAAATTTATAGTTCGTTGGAAATTTAGGATATTCAGCACCTGAAATTTTAAATAAAAAGGATAATGAACTTAAGTTTTATACAAAGAAAGTAAGTACTTTCTTTATAAAAAAAAATATTAACTTTAAAATTTTTTTAAATTTTAGTCTGATTCATATTCAGTAGGGCTATTGTTAACTTTGATTGACAATTACTACATTCTAAATAAAAATGCAAGTTTAACTTTTGCATTAATGACACAAAAGCAGCTAGATAAGCCTTTCGAAAAATCTAATATTAAAATTAACAAAAATTCAAAAATTTATAAACTTATTAAACTTCTTGTAGTTTCTGATTGTGATAAGAGAGTATCTCTTTATGATATTGTTGAAAAAAGTGGTTACTAATTCTTTTCAAATTCAAAAAAAATGAAATAAATTCTACAAAAAACTCCTGTGATGCAAAATGATGAAAAAGTAGAGCAAAATAAGTCTATTGAAATTAATTCTATCGAAGATTTGAATAAAATTTAAAATTACAATATTGTTACAATAAATTTAAGGTAATTTTTTCATTTAAACATATGCTTTTAACGTTTTATTAACTGTCAATTTTACACATTTTTTAATTATTTTATTTGATAATAGTTTTCCCTTAATTATTAACTTATTAAAGTAAGTTAATTATTTAAATTAAGTAAAAATTCAATATTCAGGAGAAAAAATATAATTTTTTGCCATAAAAAAAAATTCCTCTTCTGAATTAGAGATTTTCCAGTAATTTTTAATTTTTCTGCAAAATTTATAAATAAATATTTTGATGACATTTTTACTATTTTTCATTTAATGCATCAAAATATATCAGAAAATCAAATTTAAAAATATACATAATCTTTAATTAAATTATGTATATTTCTAAAAATTTATTAAATCATCACTAATAAATAGCATAAATAGCGATGACTATTTTTTAAAATAGTAAAGTGCTATATTAATCACTATCATAAATATATATTATATCACTCAATATACTTATAATTATTATTTGAAAGGCTTTAAATTGTTATTTGATAGATAATGTAGCAGGTGTTTTAATATAAAAAATTGGTACACAATTTTTGGCCACCCGTTACTAAATTACTACTCAACTAAAAAACAATCTATTTACTTAGTTACTTCTTCAAAAAAATTAAATGACTAAAAAAAGCACCAATCTTTTTTTACAACCCTTTTTCCTCCAAATTTATTTTCTAAATTAATTATTTATTCTTATATTTAAAGTAAAAATATTATTGGTGCACATCCTGTAAAAGATTTAGGCAATAGAATAGCCTAGTTCAAGAATATTATAAGTTTGACACTTGATTTAAGGTAAAAAAATAATTTATTAATTAATAAAACAAGAAATATTGATAAAATTGATTATTTTATTGATTTTTCACTTAGCAAATTAACTTTTTGTTTGTTATTTATATTTATTTTTAATATATTGTAATTTTTTACTTGCTTCTTTAAAAGCAAACTAAAATATAGAAATAAAAGCATCAATTTTTTTTTACAATCCTTTCACCTTCAAATTTATTTTCTTAATTAATTATTTAAAAGAAGTAGTAGTATTGGCGATGAGGGTGCAAAAAATATAAGAACAGGAATAGAGTAGTGCAAGAATCTCACAAGTTTGACACTTGATTTAAGGTAAAAATTTAATTTATTGATTGATTAATAAAGCAAGAAATATGATTAAAATTTATTATTTTGCTGATTTAATCTTTTCACTTAGTGATTAGCAAATTAACTCTATTCAATCAATAAATTTGTTTACTTACTTCTTTAAAAATAAAATACTAACAAATAGAGCAAATTTTTTACAATCATTTCTACTCCAAATTTATTTTCTTAATTAATTATTTAAAAGAAATAATAGTATTGGTGATGAGGGTGCAAAAAATTTAGCAATGGCAATAGTGTTGTGCAAGAATATCACAAATTTAAATCTTAATTTAAGGTAAAACATTAATTTTTTGATTGATTAATAAAGCAAGAAATAAGATTAAAATTGATTATTCTGATGATTTAATCATTTACTTAGCGATTAGCAAATTAAATCTACTAATAAATAATCAATTTGCTTACTTACTCTTTTAAAAATAAAATTAAATACTAACAAATGGAGCAAATTTTTTTACAATCCTTTCTACTCCAAATTTATTTTGTTAATTCTTTACTTTTTTTATATTTAAAGTACAAATAGTACACTCAAAAAAAATAAAAAAAATATTTTTAAAATTATTTTTACAATCCTTTCTACTCCAAATTTATTTTGTTAAAACATTATTTATTTTATATTTAAAGTAAAAATGGTATTAGTAATGAAGGTGCAAAAGTTTTAGGCATCGGAATTTTTTGCACCTTTATCACTAATACTGTTTCCCCTTTTAAATAATGAATGAAGAAAATAAATTTGGAGGTGAAAGGATTGTAAAAAAATTGATGCTTTTATTTGTATTTTAGTTTAATTTTAAAGAAGCAAGTAAACAAGTTACAATATTTTAAAAATAAATATAAATAACATCAAACTGTTAATTTTCACTAATTGAAAGGTCTATGTCATATAATAATCAATTTCATTTATATGTCTTGTTTATTAATTAATTTATTGATTGATTAATAAAGCAAAAAATATTAATAAAATTGATTGTTTTGCTGATTTAATCTTTTCACTTAGTGATTAGCAAATTAACTCTACTAATAAATAATCAACTTTTTTACTTAATCCTTTAAAAATAAAATAAAATACTAAGAAAAGCAGCAATTTTTTTTACAAACTATCCTTTCTATACCAAATTTATTTTATTAATTCTTTATTTATTTTATATTTAAAGTACAAATTAAATTGGTGATGAGGGTGCAAAAGATTTAGGCTAAGGAATAGTATTGTTCAAGAATATCACAAATTTAAATCTTAATTTAAGGTAAAAAATTAATTAATTAATTTATTGATTGATTGATTAATAAAGCAAGAAATATTAATAAAATTGATTGTTTTGCTGATTTAATCTTTTCACTTAGTGATTAGCAAATTAACTCTACTAATAAATAATCAACTTTTTTACTTAATCCTTTAAAAATAAAATAAAATACTAAGAAAAGCAGCAATTTTTTTTTACAAACTATCCTTTCTACACTAAATTTATTTTATTGATTCTTTATTTATTTTATATTTAAAGTACAAATTAAATTGGTGATGAGGGTGCAAAAGATTTAGGCAAAGGAATAGCATACTGCAAGTATATCACAAATTTGAAACTTGATTTAAGGTAAAAAAAAATAATTTATTAATTAATAAGCAAGAAATATAGATAAAATTGGTTATTTTATTGATAAAAATATAGATAAAATTGATTATTTTATTGAAGTTTTTCATTTAATAATAGGCAAATTAAATTAGTTTGTTATTTTTTTATATTTTATTCTATTCTTTATTTACATACATATTTACTTAGAATTCAACAAAATATAATCAATTTCGTTTCTTACTCCTTCAAAAATAAACTAAAATACGAATAAGATCAGCAATCTTTTTTACAATCCATTCCCTCCAAATTTATTTTCTTAATTTATTATTTAAAAGAGGAAATAGTATTGGTAATTAGGGTACAGAATATTTAGCGTATTAAATGAATATCACATATTTGATACTTGAATTAAGATAAAAATTTAATTTGTTGATTGATTGAGAAAGCAAGAAAAATAAATAAAATTGATTAATTTGCTGATTAAATTTTTTCACTTAGTAATAAGTAGGGTTAGACCGAATATAAATTTTTAAAACAATACCAAATAAACAATTTTTTAATACCAAATAATAATTTTATTTAATAAAACCGAATATTCGATCTGACCCTAGTGATTAGCAAATTTAATCTATTTGTTTGTTATTTAATTATTTATTTATTTAATTTTTATTAGATTATTTATTTACTTTCATATTTACTTACAACTCTACTAATAAAATATCAGTTTTTTTACAATCCTTTCTGTTCCAAATTTATTTTATTAATTCATTATTTATTTTATATTTAAAGTGCAAATGGTATTGGAGAATATGGTGTAAAAGATTTAGGTACAGGAATAGCTTAATGCAAGAATATCACAAGTTTGACACTTGATTTAAGGTAACAATTTAAATTATTGATTTATTGATAAAGCAAGAAATATAAATAAAACTTATTATTTTGCTGATGTAATCTTTTCACTTAGTGATTAGCAAATTAAATCAATTTATATTTTATTTAATTATTTATTTATTTATTAGATTGTTTATTTACAAACATACATACTTACTTACTTATAACTCAACTAAAAAATAATCAATTTATTTCTTACTCCTTCAAAAATAAACCAAAATATAAACGAAAGCATCAATCTTATTTTACAATCCTTTCAGTTCCAAATTTATTATATTAATTCATTATTTATTTTATATTTAAAGTGCAAATAGTATTGGAGCATATGGTGCAAAAGATTTAGGTACAGAAATAGCTTAATGCAAGAATATCACAAGTTTGACACTTGGTTTAAGGTAACAACTTAATTTATTGATTAATAAAGCATATTGATAAAATTTATTATTTAGTTGATTTATGCTTTTTACTTTTTAATTAGTAAGTTAAATTAATTTGTTTGTTATTTATTTATTTTTATATTCTAATTTGTTTACTTACTCCTTTAAAAGCAAACTAAAATACAAATAAAAGCAACAATATTTTTACAATCCTTTCTCCTCCAAATTTATATTATTAATTAATTTTATATTTAAAGGATAAATAATATTGGTGCATAGGGTGCATAAGATTTAGGCACAGGAATAGCTTAATGTAAAAATATCACAAGTTTGACACTTGATTTATGGTAAAAGCATCATTTATTGATTGATAAAGCAAGAGATTTTTTAAAAACTGATTATTTTGTTGATTTAAGCTTTTTACTTAATGATGAGCAAATTACATGAGTTTGCTAGTTATTTTTTATCTCTTAGATATATTATTTACATGCATACATACATACTTACTTACTAATCAATTAAATAATCAATTTTTTTGCTTAATCCTTTAAAAACAAAACAAAATACTTGCAAAAAAAGCAATATTTTTTTGCAACCTTTTCTACTCCAAATATATTTTATTAATTCATTATTTATTTTATATTTAAAGTACAAATAGTATTGGAGCATAGGGTGCAAAAGATTTAGGTACAGGAATAGCGTAGTGTAAAAATATTACAAGTTTGACACTTAAATTAGTGTAAAAAATTAATTTATTAATTGATAAGTTTAGAAATTTAGATAAAATTGATTATTTTACTGATTTAATCTTTTCACTTAATAATTAGTAAATTAAATCAGTTTGTTTGTTTGTTATTTAACTATTTACTTATTTATATATATTTTATTAGATTATTTATTTACATAAATACTTACTTTCTACTCAACTAAAAAACAATAAATTTATTTATTAAAGTGAGAATAGCATTGATGAATATGGTGCAAAAGATTTAGGCATGGGAATAGCTTAATGCAAGAATATCACAAGTTTGATACTTGATTTAAGGTAACAATTTAATTTCTTAATGAATAAAGCAAGAAATATTATAAAAATTGATTATTTTGTTGATTTAAGCTTTTCAATTAACTATTAGCAAATTAAATTAGTTTGTTAGTTATTTATTTATTCTTTTAGATATCTTATTTACATATATATTTACTTACTAATCCATTAAATAATAAATTTGTTTACTTTAAAAACAAAACAAAATACTTACAAAAGAAGCAAATTTTTTTGCAATCTTTTCTACTCAAAATTTATTTAAAATTTAAAGTACAAATAGTATTGGTGAATATGGTGCAAAATATTTAGGCATAGGAATAGCTTAATGCAAGAATATCACAAGTTTGGCAATTAATTTAAGGTAAAAGCATAATTTATCGATTGATAAAGCAAGAAATATTATAAAAATTGATTATTTTGTTAATTTAAGCTTTTCACTTAATTATTAGCATATTAAATTAGTTTGTTAGTTATTTATTTATTTATTCTCTTATATATCTTATTTATATATATATTTACTTACTAATCCATTAAATTATCAATTTGTTTATTTAATACTTTAAAAACAAAACAAAATACTTATAAAAGAAGCAATTTTTTTTTCAATCTTTTCTACTCAAAATTTATTTAAAATTTAAAGTAAAAATAGTATTGGTGAATATGGTGCAAAAGATTTAGGCACAGGAATAGCTTAATGCAAAAATATCACAAGTTTGACACTTGATTTAAGGTAACAATTTAATTTATTAATTAATAAAACAAAGAGATAAAATTGATTATTTAGTTGATTATTGCTTATCAGTTTGTAATTAATTATTTATTAATTTTTGTTATATTCTAATTTATTTACTAACTCCTTTAAAAGTAAACTAAAATAAAAATAAATACACCAATACTTTCTCCTCTAAATTAATTTTTTAATTCATTATTTATTTTTATATTTAAAGTGAAAATAGCATTGGTGCATAGGGTGTAAAAGATTTAGGCACAGGAATAGCTTAATGCAAGAATATTACAAGTTTGACACTTTATTTAAGGTAAAAAGATAATTTATTAATTGATAAAGCAAGAAATGTTATAAAAATTGATTATTTTATTGATTTAGGCTTTTCACTTAATTATTAGCATATTAAATTAGTTAGTTATTTTTTTTTATTTTTCTCTTAGATATCTTATTTAAATACATACATACATGCATACTTACTTACTAATCAATTTTTTTCTCCTTAATCCTTTAAAACAAAACAAAATACTTATAGAGGATGCAATCTTTTTTTGCAACCCTTTCTACTCCAAATATATTTTATTAATTCATTATTTATTTTATGTTTTAAGTAAAAATAGTATTGGAGCATAAGGTGCAAAAGATTTAGCCACAGCAATAGCTTAGTGCAAAAATATTGCAAGTTTGACACTTGATTTAATGTAAAAAATTAATTTATTGATTGATAAGTTAAGAAATATAGATAAAATTGATTATTTTGCTGATTTAATCTTTTCACTTAGTGATTAGCAAATTAAATCAGTTTGCTTGTTTGTTATTTAACTATTTATTTATTTATATATATTTTATTAGTTTATTTATTTATTTACATACATAATTACTTTCTACTCAACTAAAAAACAATCAATTTGTTTACTTACTCTTTCAAAAGCAAATTAAAAAACTAATAAAAGCATCAATCTTTTATTACAATCCTTTCTCCTCCAAATTCATTTCTTCATTCATTATGTATTATTATATTTAAAGAGAAAATAGCATTGGTGCATAGGGTGCAAAAGATTTAGGTACAGGAATAACGTAATGCAAGAATATTACAAGTTTAACACTTGATTTAAGGTAAAAACTTAATTTATTGATTAATAAAGTAAGAAATATATAAATAAAATTGATTATTTTGATGATTAACTCTTTTCACATAATTCTTAACAAGTTAAATAATTATGTTCGCTATTTATTTATTTTTTTTAGATTGATTATTTGCCTACATATATAATTACTTATTTACTATTCAACTAAAAACTGTCCAATTTGTTTGCTTACAACTTCAAAAATAAATTAAAACACTAAAAAAATTAGAGATTTTTTTTCTATCTTTTCTCTTCCATATTTTTATTAATTCATTATTTATTCTTATATTTAAAGGGAAAATAGTATTGATGCATATTACGCAAAAGATTTAGGTACATAAATAGCGTAGTACAAGAATATCAAAATCTGACACTTAATTTATTGTAAAAAATGAATTAGCATAAAATACAAAAAAATTGATTATTTTGTAGATTTATATTTTTCAATTAGTGATTTTGCTTATTAAATTAAAATAAGTATTATTCATTTATAAACATATTTAAAATAATAACTTTAATACCCCAAAAAAAATGAATTTAACAAATATATTTCAAACAAATTATTTAATAAATATATATTTTAATATATTATAAATAATAGAAACAATAATGTTAGACCATCAAAAGTATTAACAATTCAAAAAAAATTAATTGATTAATTAAACAAATAAGAAAAATAAGTAAAATTAATAATATTATAAAAATATTTAATTTAAAAGTTAAAATATTAAGTAAAATTTAGATATTATTTTGAAGAACTAGAATAAATATACTAATCAAATTGTAATTAAAATACAAATCATATATATATTATAATTAAAATTATTATATGTATTTTTTATGGAAAATAAATTATTTGTATATTTTTAAAGATATTGCTACTTACTTTTTATTAGATTTATAAACTTTATAAAATTATATTAAAAATTAATTAAATGCTTCTTTATTCCTTTAATATATTATTAAATTTAACAAATTATAATCTTTAAAATTAGAAAATTCTAAAAAAATAAAATATTCTCATTTATCCAATAACATGATATTCATAGATAAATTAAACAAATTATTATAAAATAATATCTTTTTCTTATTATTTAATTTAATATAAAACGAAAATAAATAATTTTAAATACTGTGTCACAAAAAGTTATCAACTAAGAATGTGATACACTAAATGGTTGAGTATTAATAATGAAAAAAAATTTAAAAAAAATATTTAAAATTTTAATTTTATAAAATGTAAAAACACAGTATATAAAACTCGCTTTTTGTTAATTTTTATGGTAACTTACTCTATTTAATGATAAATGTTTTCTTCCATATTTAAAAAGGTCGAAAAAAATTGGTGCAATTGGTGCATCAGGCTTAGGTTCTGGTTTAGCAAATTGCATTAATCTCTCAAATTTGACAATTTCTCTTCGGTAAAAACAGTTTATTTGTTATGAATTGTGATATTTTTAATTATAAAAACTAATTAAAAACAATAAAACTCTTTTTTGTTTTTCTTTTTATTGTGCTTGCTTTTTTTTGTTCTTTCTTTCTTTGATAAATTAGCTCATCATTTTATTTTCAGATTTTGCTTTTATTATTAATTAATCTATCTTATTATTTCATATTTTTTCTTCATTTTTTCCTTCTAACTAACTATTTAATGATAAATGTTTTCTTCAAAATTTAAAAAGTTAAAATGAAATTAGTGATGAAGGTGCATCAGGCTTAGGTTCTGGTTTAGCAAATTGCATTAATCTCTCAAATTTGATACTTTATCTCGAGTAAAAACAGTTTATTTGTTATGGATTGTGATATTTTTAATTATAAAAACTAATTAAAAACAATAAAACTCTTTTTTCTTTTTCTTTTTATTGTGCTTGCTTTTTTTTGTTCTTTCTTTCTTTGATAAATTAGCTCATCATTTTATTTTAAAATTTTGCTTTTATTATTAAATAATCTATCACATTATTTCATATTTTTTCTTCATTTTTTCCTTCTAACTAACTATTTAATGATAAATGTTTTCTTCAAAATTTAAAAAGGTGGAATAAAATTGGTGATGAAGGTGCATCAGGCTTAGGCTCTGGTTTAGCAAATTGCATTAATCTCTCAAATTTGACACTTTCTCTTAGGTAAAAACAGTTTATTTATTTTGGATTGTGATATTTTTAATTATAAAAACTAATTAAAAACAATAAAACTCTTTTTTCTTTTTCTTTTTATTGTGCTTGCTTTTTTTTGTTCTTTCTTTCTTTGATAAATTAGCTCATCATTTTATTTTAAAATTTTGCTTTTATTATTAATTAATCTATCTTATTATTTCATATTTTTTCTTCATTTTTTCCTTCTAATTAACTATTTAATGATATATTTTTTATACAATATTTAAAAAGTTACAATTAAATTGGTGATGAAGGTGCATCAGGCTTAGGTTCTGGTTTAGCAAATTGCATTAATCTCTCAAATTTGACACTTTCTCTTAGGTAAAAACAGTTTATTTATTTTGGATTGTGATATTTTTAATTATAAAAACTAATTAAAAACAATAAAACTCTTTTTTCTTTTTCTTTTTATTGTGCTTGCTTTTTTTTGTTCTTTCTTTGATAAATTAGCTCATCATTTTATTTTCAGATTTTGCTTTTATTATTAATTAATCTATCTTATTATTTCATATTTTTTCTTCATTTTTTCCTTAACTATTTAATGATAAATGTTTTCTTCAAAATTTAAAAAGTTAAAATGAAATTAGTGATGAAGGTGCATCAGGCTTAGGTTCTGGTTTAGCAAATTGCATTAATCTCTCAAATTTGACACTTTATCTCGAGTAAAAATAGTTTATTTGTTTTGGATTATGATATTTTTAAATCATAAAAACTAATTAAAAACAATAAAACTCTTTTTTCTTTTTCTTTTTATTGTGCTTGCTTTTTTTGTTCTTTCTTTGATAAATTAGCTCATCATTTTATTTTAAAATTTTGCTTTTATTATTAAATAATCTATCACATTATTTCATATTTTTTCTTCATTTTTTCCTTCTAACTAACTATTTAATGATAAATGTTTTCTTCAAAATTTAAAAAGGTGGAATAAAATTGGTGATGAAGGTGCATCAGGCTTAGGCTCTGGTTTAGCAAATTGCATTAATCTCTCAAATTTGACACTTTCTCTTAGGTAAAAACAGTTTATTTATTTTGGATTGTGATATTTTTAATTATAAAAACTAATTAAAAACAATAAAACTCTTTTTTCTTTTTCTTTTTATTGTGCTTGCTTTTTTTTGTTCTTTCTTTCTTTGATAAATTAAAACATCATTTTATTTTAAAATTTTGCTTTTATTATTAATTAATCTATCTCATTATTTCATATTTTTTCTTCATTTTTTCCTTCTAACTAACTATTTAATGATAAATGTTTTCTTCAATATTTAAAAAGGGAAAATGAAATTAGTGATGAAGGTGCATCAGGCTTAGGTTCTGGTTTAGCAAATTGCATTAATCTCTCAAACTTGACCCTTTATCTTAAGTAAAAACAGTTTATTTGTTATTGATTGTGATATTATTAATAATAAAAACTAATTAAAAACAATAAAACTCTTTTTTCTTTTTCTTTTTATTGTGCTTGCTTTTTTTTGTTCTTTCTTTCTTTGATAAATTAGCTCATCATTTTATTTTAAAATTTTGCTTTTATTATTAAATAATCTATCACATTATTTCATATTTTTTCTTCATTTTTTCCTTCTAACTAACTATTTAATGATAAATGTTTTCTTCAAAATTTAAAAAGTTAAAATGAAATTAGTGATGAAGGTGCATCAGGCTTAGGTTCTGGTTTAGCAAATTGCATTAATCTCTCAAATTTGACAATTTCTCTTAGGTAAAAACAGTTTATTTGTTATGGATTATGATATTTTAAATTATAAAAACTAATTAAAAACAATAAAACTCTTTTTTCTTTTTCTTTTTATTGTGCTTGCTTTTTTTGTTCTTTCTTTCTTTGATAAATTAGCTCATCATTTTATTTTAAAATTTTGCTTTTATTATTAATTAATCTATCTCATTATTTCATATTTTTTCTTCATTTTTTCTTCTAACTAACTATTTAATGATAAATGTTTTCTTCAAAATTTAAAAAGGTGGAATAAAATTGGTGATGAAGGTGCATCAGGCTTAGGTTCTGGTTTAGCAAATTGCATTAATCTCTCAAATTTGACACTTAATCTTTGGTAAAAACAGTTTATTTGTTTTGGATTGTGATATTTTAAATTATAAAAACTAATTAAAAACAATAAAACTCTTTTTTCTTTTTCTTTTTATTGTGCTTGCTTTTTTTTGTTCTTTCTTTCTTTGATAAATTAGCTCATCATTTTATTTTAAAATTTTGCTTTTATTATTAAATAATCTATCTTATTATTTAATATTTTTTCTTCATTTTTTCCTTCTAACTAACTATTTAATGATAAATATTTTCTTCAAAATTTAAAAAGTTAAAATGAAATTGATGATGAAGGCACATTAGGCTTAGGTTCTGGTTTAGCAAATTGCATTAATCTCTCAAATTTGACACTTTATTTCGAGTAAAAACAGTTTATTTGTTATGGATTATGATATTTTAAATTATAAAAACGGGGGGGGGGGGGTCAAAGCAGGGACCCATTCATTTTTGAATGGAAAATTTTCATTCTTACTAGAATTTTTTCAAATATAATTTACTAACGGCCATCTCTAATTCCTACTATACTTTTAATTATATGTTTTAAATATAAATATTAAGATTAAATAATGAATTTTAAATTAATTTTTCTGAGATATCTCTTCATAAAACAAAATTAATAATTTAATATTTGATAATTAATTATTATACTTTATTTGTTCTGTTTTTCCATTTATAATTAATTAAATTTCATATATTGCTATTGAATATTTTTGAAAAAAAAAAAATAAATGATATAATAGATTAAAAAATATAATAATTTGGAAGAAGTAATTATTAATTTTTTTATTAATATCCTTTAAATTTATATAAATTAATAAAAAAAGTTTATAAGCTCTTCATTTTTATCTCATTAGGTTCTCCATATTTTTCTTCCGTAAATTTAATTTATAAATATTATTTTTATTATTATTAATATATTTTATATATTTAACTTTCAATTTATTTAAATAAATAATTTTTGTTATAGAAATTATCACAATTATTTATTGATTATTATTAAAACTAAAATTTTTTAGCATTTTAACTTAATTTTCATTTCAATTTTTAATTATTTATTAAACATTTTTATTATTTGATATTTTTTCTTCATTTTTTACTGTTAAAACTTTTTATTAATAAAAGCAGTTTAATTTTGGATTATAATATTTTTAATTATAAAAGTTAATTTAAAACATTAAATATCATTTAATTTATTTATTTCCTTTTTCTTTTTATTACTATTTCTTTTTTTTCATAATCTTATTATTTCATATTTTTTCTTCATTTTTTCCTTCTAATTAACTAGAGTGAAATGCCTATTTAATTTATCAAAGGCGAAATATAATTTAAATTAATAACATAATAAATAAAGTTAAATTAGCTTAAAACAGCTTTATTTTTGAGTTTTTAGAAAGCTTTAAATTCACAAAATGTAAAATTTGAAATAATATGTATCCTATATTCATTTAACATATCATTTTTTTGAAAAAAATAAATTTTGAAAAATTTTACGAACTTTTGGACAGAATTAAAAAAACAATAAAACTCTTTTTTCTTTTTCTTTTATTGTACTTGCTTTTTTTTGTTATTTCTTTCTTTGTTTCTTTCTTTATTAATTTAGCTCATCATTTTATTTTAAAATTTTGCTTTTATTATTAATTAATCTATCTTATTATTTCATATTTTTTCTTCATTTTTCCTTCTAATTAACTAATTAATGATATATTTTTTCTTCAATATTTAAAAAGTGTAAAAATAAATGGTGATAAAGGTGCAATAGCCTTAGGTTCTGCTTTAACAAATTGCATTAATCTCTCAAATTTGACACTTGAGCTTTGGTAAAAACAGTTTATTTGTTTTGGATTGTGATATTTTTAATTATAAAAACTAATTAAAAACAATAAAACTCTTTTTTCTTTTTCTTTTTATTGTGCTTGCTTTTTTTTGTTCTTTCTTTCTTTCTTTATTTATTAATTTAGCTCATCATTTTATTTTCAAATTTTGCTTTTATTATTAATTAACCTTATTTATTATTTCATATTATTTCATATTTTTTCTTCCTTTTTTCCTTCTAATTAACTATTTAATGATATATCTTTTCTTCAATATTTAAAAAGTAAAAATAAAATTGGTGATGAAGGTGCATCAGGCTTAGGTTCTGCTTTAGCAAATTGCATTAATCTCTCAAATTTGAAACTTTCTCTTTGGTAAAAACAGTTTATTTGTATTTGATTGTGATAATTTTAATTATAAAAACTAATTAAAAACAATAAAACTCTTTTTTCTTTTTCTTTTTATTGTGCTTGCTTTTTTTTGTTCGTTCTTTCTTTGTTAATATAGCTCATCATTTTATTTTCAACTTTTGCTTTTATTATTAATTAATCTATCTTATTATTTCATATTTTTTCTTCATTTTTTCCTTAACTATTTAATGATAAATGTTTTCTTCAATATTTAAAAAGGTCTAATAAAATTGGTGATGAAGGTGTATCAGGCTTAGGTTCAGGTTTAGCAAATTGCATTAATCTCTCAAATTTGACACTTGATCTTGAGTAAAAACAGTTTATTTGTTTTGGATTGTGATATATTTAATTATAAAAACTAATTAAAAACAATAAAACTCTTTTTTCTTTTTCTTTTTATTGTGCTAGCTTTTTTATTTTATTTCTTTCTTTATTTGTTAATTTAGCTCATCATTTTATTTTCAACTTTTGCTTTTATTATTAATTAATCTATCTTATTATTTCATATTTTTTCTTCATTTTTTCCTTCTAATTAAATATTTAATGATATATTTTTTCTTCAATATTTAAAAAGAGGAAATTAAATTGGTGCAATTGGTGCATCAGCCTTAGGTTCTGGTTTAGCAAATTGCATTAATCTCTCAAATTTGACACTTAATCTTAGGTAAAAACAGTTTATTTGTTTTGGATTGTGATATTTTTAATTATAAAAACTAATTAAAAACAATAAAACTCTTTTTTCATTTTCTTTTTATTGTGCTTGTTTTTTTTTGTCATTTCATTCTTTATTTGTTAATTTAGCTCATCATTTTATTTTAAACTTTTGCTTTTATTATTAATTAATCTATCTTATTATTTCATATTTTTTCTTCATTTTTTCCTTAACTATTTAATGATAAATGTTTTCTTCAATATTTAAAAGTTTTAGTACAATTCGTGATGAAGGTGCATCAGGCTTAGGTTCAGATTTAGCAAATTGCATTAATCTCTCAAATTTGACACTTCATCTTCGGTAAAAATAGTTTATTTATTTTGGATTGTGATATTTTTAATTATAAAAACTAATTAAAAACAATAAAACTCTTTTTTCTTTTTCTTTTTATTGTGCTTGCTTTTTTTTGTTCTTTATTTCTTTGTTAATTTAGCTCATCATTTTATTTTCAACTTTTACTTTTATTATTAATTAATCTATCTTATTATTTGATATTTTTTCTTCATTTTTTCCTTAACTATTTAATGATAAATGTTTTCTTCAATATTTAAAAAGGTCTAATAAAATTCGGGATACATACATACATACATACATACTCGCACATGGTTAGATGCACTCGGGATAGGGGCCCTATATATAATTACTTATACATTATTATTATACGTATACCAATTTATTTATATATAATTGTGGGTAATATACTAGAAGGGAAGGGTCACCTACACCCTAATGGCATTTCTACTAATCTTCCATGATTTGACTACGCATTATGCTCGCTTCCCATTTGTATTCCAGATCTTCTGTTCAGAATGGGGCCTCCTCTTTACCACCTATCAGATTTGGCCCTTCCCTCCTACCAAGGAGACCGCTGGTAACATTCACATTTTTACATGGAATTTTTCGAAATAAAGGGGGCGGTATAGGATTCGAACCCCCGATATCACTGCTAAGACCCTCCGACTCGCCCACTCGAGTCGCTTAGCCCTTCTTAAAATTCGGGATGAAGGTGCATCAGGCTTAGGTTCTGGTTTAGCAAATTGCATTAATCTCTCAAATTTGACACTTAATCTTCGGTAAAAACAGTTTATTTATTTTGGATTGTGATATTTTTAATTTTAAAAACTAATTAAAAATAATAAAACTCTTTTTCTTTTTATTGTGCTTGCTTTTTTTTGTTCTTTATTTCTTTGTTAATTTAGCTCATCATTTTATTTTCAACTTTTGCTTTTATTATTAATTAATCTATCTTATTATTTGATATTTTTTCTTCATTTTTTCCTTAACTATTTAATGATAAATGTTTTCTTCAATATTTAAAAAGGACTAATAAAATTCGGGATGAAGGTGCATCAGGCTTAGGTTCTGGTTTAGCAAATTGCATTAATCTCTCAAATTTGACACTTAATCTTTGGTAAAAACAGTTTATTTATTTTGGATTGTGATATTTTTAATTATAAAAACTAATTAAAAATAATAAAACTCTTTTTCTTTTTCTTTTTATTGTGCTTGTTTTTTTTGTAATTTCTTTCTTTCTTTGTTAATTTAGCTCATCATTTTATTTTCAACTATTACTTTTATTATTAATTAATCTATCTTATTATTTCATATTTTTTCTTCATTTTTTCCTTCTAATTAACTAATTAATGATATATTTTTTCTTCAATATTTAAAAAGGTCTAATAAAATTGGTGATAAAGGTACATTAGGCTTAAGTTCTGGTTTAGCAAATTGCATTAATCTCTCAAATTTGACACTTGATCTTGAGTAAAGACAGTTTATTTGTTTTGGATTGTGATAATTTTAATTATAAAAACTAATTAAAAACAATAAAACTCTTTTTTCTTTTTATTGTGCTTTCTTTT